CAGCAGCTTGGGTAGGGCTAGACCCCAAGGAAGTTCCTATAGTCACCATCAGTGCACCAGCTGGGGGTCAGTGCCTGCAACCCCACCACCTCCAGGTGCTGGCAGCTGCTGGGGCAGGAGCTGGGGAGGCAATATCTGCAAGGCTCCCCCTCACACTCCACCTGCCCTTCCTCGTGCTCCTCAGACTCCTCTGTCCACGCCTCTCTTGTTCAGGGGTCTGAATGAACCCCAGGGGGAACATACCAGGAAGCAGGGATTCTGAGTTTGCAAAGGAAGTGTGGGGGGAAGGGGCTATTCTAGCTCTATTCACAAGTTAGAAAAACAATCTAGGGGAGTTGTGGGGAGATCTCAGCACTTTCTGGCTGTGCAATCTTGGGCAAGTTACCTAACATCTCTGTGTCTCAGCTTCCTCATTTTTCTAATGGTGATTTTAATGTCCACTTAGCAGGACTGTTGTGAAGATTAAATGAACACATGTGATAAGCACCTAGAATAGTGCCTGGCACATAGTTGTACATCAATACAAGGTGGCTGATGCCCCCTCTTAAAAATGAACAAATAAACAAACGGGCCCTATGGGAACCCTGTCACTGGGGGACCCCAGAAAGGAGATGCTTGGCTGTGGTGCTGCTACCAGCTCACTGTGTGGCCCAGGGTAAGCCCCTAGGCTCTGGGCCTCTGATACCCAGAGATGGGATGGAGAAACACAGAGGTTCCTCACTATGGCCAAGTTCATTACCAAGGTGTCCGTAAGCTTCAGGGGGACCATAGAGCCCCTGAAATTGTAGGCAAAATGTGTGACACCCATTTGTTTTTCTGAAAGAAGGTTTCATTAGATTTTCAAAAGTATATGTAGACTAATGTTTGCCTAGGGCTGGGGTGGGGAGGAGGCATGACTGTCAATGGGTATGGGTTTCTTTATGGGGTGATGAAATTGTTGTAAAATTGTGACATGATTGCGCAGCCCTGTGACCATGCTAAAATCCCTCACGTTGTGCAAATTAAATGGGTGAACTATGTCTCAATAAAGCTGTGATTTAAAAAGTATACGTAACCAAAAAATGACTACAAAGCCGGGAGAGCTCTTGGGGATAAAGAGATGGGGCTTCCGAGGCCTAGAGAGGTTATTTGAATCAGCCTGTCTCTTCCAAGTCCAGACACCTTCCTCTACAACAGGCAGCCCCCAGGAGCTAGTAGGCCCTCCGGGAATGGGTCTGGGATTTCTGCTTCTGGCCTGAGCACCCGAGTGGAGATTCACTCCCAGCTACAGGAGAGGATCAGAGACTCCCTGGTGGAAGGTGGGAGTCAAGTAAACCACGTCCGAGATTCTTCCCATATAGTCGGGAGAGAGTGCACCTCCTTCACAGCCAGCCTCTAAGGTTGTTTGGTTTTAAAAACAAACATGGTTTTGATGGTCAAAAATAATACATGCTATTGGAGAATTTAGAAATGCATGAGAAAATAAAAACCACTTGCACTCCCACCATGTGACCTTCCAGTTCTTTTTTTTTCTGTGTGAATCTGTGCAAATGTATACATACAGGTATTCCAATTTAGTAGGGAGTGTATTGCATATACTATTTTGTAATTTACTTGTTTTGTTTAAAATATATCAGAACACTTTTCAGTGTACTTAAGCCCTTTGCTACAACATAACTTTTAACGTCTGCAAGTGTTCCACATATGATTATTCTATAGTTTAAAAAAAGTAGATTTTGCCCTAGCTGGTTTGGCTCAGTGGCTAGAGTGTCGGCCTGCGGACTGAAGGGTCCCGGGTTCGATTCCGGCCAAGGGCATGTACCTTGGTTGCGGGCACATTCCCAGTAGGGAGTGTGCAGGAGGCAGCTGATTGATGTTTCTAACTCTCTATCCCTGTCCCTTCCTCTCTGTAAAAAAATTAATAAAATATATATTTAAAAAAAATAAAGATTTTAAGGTTTAAACTGCATTTAAAAAGTTTTAATGGTACTACCTTCTCTGACCATCCAGGGAGATGGCTAGATGCTTGCAGAGGGTGAAACAGAATAGAGACCCAGGGATGCACCCCATGGAGACCCTAGCAGGGTGGAAGGTACAGGCAAACATGGAAAAGAAGATGGTGACTCCTAGTCACTGAGCACACAGCAGCAGATTCTGGTTGTGTGCCCCTCTCCTACTCCCCACCGAAGCACGCATCACTTACCTGTACTGGCATAGCCCAGAGGTTTGGGCACAAGAAGAAAAACCACATGAGCTGGTTGGTGTCGATGGCAACCAGGTTACAGATCTGCCCAGCAGTCATTTCCCCCATGGACAGATTGGAGGTGGACAGGTGCATGATTTTATTGTAAATCTTGGTCTAGAAACGAGAGCAGCATCGTTCACATTTGTCATCATCCTTCTAATCACCACCCCAGGTGCCACACATCTATAATGTGCCAGGGGCTTCTGAGACATTTGCCCTACAGAGCACAGAGCAGCTCTGTAAGGGGGCCCTGCATTACTGTCCCACCTTTACCAATGAGGTACCTAAGGCCCAGAGAAGTAGAGGGCTTTGATGACCAATCACACAAGCCTGAGAGGCAGCATGCAAACGAGGAACCCATGCCAGGGCAGGCTACTTTCCCAGCAAGCAAAATCTCTCCCTTGGGGACAGGACTTAATGAGCTCTTAAATCTTAAAAGCAGATTTTCCTGTCCAGTTGAATTCTTGATTTACCAGAGGCCAGTAGAGAGCATACTTCAGAGCCATAAACATGACAAAGTGGGGCAGCCATCTGTTTTAATGGATCATCTCCAACCAGGGATGGGGTGTGCTCCGGGGCCAAGTCCTGTCCTCAGCCTGTAATGGGCTTATGTGAGGCACAATGTATGGGTGTCGATGAGCCCCAGCCCCATCCTGGAGGCCAGCCACCCTGGGGACCTTGCTCTGCCCCCTCCAGGCAGATGGGAACAGCCATGGCAATGGCTCCTGTGAGCTGTGAACCTAAAAGCCATATGGGCAGAGTGATTGTGCCTCCCAGAAGGATGGCAATTTCCGGGCCATGTGCTCTTGCAAAAGGAAAAATGCATTTCTGTCTTAAATATCCTAGGGATGCCTGCTCACAATGAAATTCTATTGTGCGTTCTGTTATCAGGTGCGTTCCCGGGCCTTAATTCATAATTTGTGTAAACCCAGGCTTTTCTATGGGTCGGGCATACTTAAAGCATAAACCTATTCTATGTCTTTTTTGTGAGTTTATTTGTACCACGGGTAAGGTTTAAAATGAGGGCAATGGCATTTTTGGACAAGTCTATGCACATCCTAGGTTATATGAAATTGGTCTCTAAAGAATAATAATAAACCTAGTCTCAGTGAAGTAGAAACATAGACTAATCTATCGAAGAAAGCATTATTAAGTAAAGACCAAGATACATAGAAACACACAACCGACTGATAGCTAGTAAGCCAAAAAATTATATGTAACACTGGAATTTTGCTTAATAACTTTTCATGCAAGAAATGGGATTACTCTCAAATTCACGAAGACATGGATTCTTGTCTATAATTTTCTGTAAATTTCTGAAAGAACTAAGTTTTTTTTTAATCTCATTTGTTTCCATAATTAATGCTAGCTATTTTCTTTTTGTGGCATCTGAATCAATCTCTTATTAATGCAAAAGATTCAGGTAGTTTGATAAAAACAATTATATGCTAATACATTAAAAAACCATTTTGCCTCTTTTAGTGTAATTGGAAAATTATGGGCCCTAATACATTAAAAAACCATTTTGCCTCTTTTACTGTAATTGGAAAGTTCTTGTCAGAGTGTGAATTATGACATACAAATAGAAAGCTGATTTAATTACAAAACTGTTTAACTACAAAACTGGCTGTTGTTTGCGGTGGTGCAGGTCTGCCTGTCACTGGACGTATGTGAGCAGGGGCTGGGATTTTCAGAATGGTTTTCTGAACTGAGCTGGTTCCTGCCAGTTCTGAGCCCCTAGGAGTCTTAGGGGGTCTTGGATTTTCCTGGGATCTTTCGACCATTCTCCTATGATGACATTCCTGGAAATGGCTCTGCTTCCTCAATGTGAAACCACTGAGGATGGGCAGCGACGTCATGGCAGCCGCTCAGGTTGTGCACTACACAATTCCAGGGGGCACCATACACATGGACTATACCTACATAACCAGAGTTTGGCCCCTGATGCTGTTCCCAACCCAGGCTATCCCTTTTCCCTTCCAGTCCCTTTTCTACACAGCCTCTGGTCCCGGCTCCCAGAGGACCAGTCAATGTTAATGATTCTGAGGCTCATTTCTGAAGAATGATGTGGCTTTGGGGTTTAATCACAACTTCCTAGTGTTGTACTGACTTCATGGGAATGGCCGGGTATGGCAGAACCTGTAGTTGTCCCCCCATATCCATTCTTTTCTTTTCACCAGAAGAATTTCTAGAAGAATTATGGCAAGAAGAAAGACCCCACTTTTAAGCCTCTGGGGTGGCCATTTGGGCAATTTCTCAGGAAAGGGATGGGAAAGAATATGTGCAACTTCTGCACTGTGATTTTAAAAGAGGAAGCGTTCCCTCCTATTGCTCCATCTTTCTTCTGCTGGGTTAAATATAGACATGTGGCAATTTCAAAAGTCCTTTAAAACCAGAAGATGGAAGCCTGGCAGAGCAACATTACAGAAAGAAATAACGTCTCTGATATTGCGTAGCTATTTCACAGCCCTGACTGTGAAAAACAAGCTTCCATCCTCTGTAAACCACTATTGTACTGGGTCTCTTCATTCCAACCGCTGAACCAAAATTCTAATAAAAACACTGGGGCTCAGGCAACATTCATCACCAGCTTGCCGAAAGGGGCCCTGCATGCTCCCTGACTTTGATCATCCTTCCAATGACTCGGAGAAGAAATCCACAGACGGCAGCAGCGAGAAGCTAGGCCCAAGAGACCTATCAGGCCAGCTAAGTCTCCCTTATGACCCAAAATCTAAGCTCTCCAATAGATCTTAGAGGCTCTCTAATCCTGGCGTGTCAAACACGTTTTCTGTTTTGCACCCAAAGAAGATTGTCTGGTAGAACTCTGGAATGGTATCTAGAGAAGGATTCTGAGGCTGCATTTGCATTCGGAGGGAAAGAATGCTGTGATGGGTTAGGGGTGTCAATCCCATTCAAGGCTGAAAAACACGGAGGCCCAAAGGCTGAGCAATTGACATTACAGGTCAAATCCAAGGCAGAACTACGACAGTTCCTAAGTCCAGCCCAAGCATTTTCCACTATCCCACACTGCATTGTCAATGGTATTTCAAAACACAGTTAAAAGAGCCACACACACACACACACACACACAAATCCCAGCAGAAATGATCCTTGAGGGCCCATGGGGACAACTCATGTGGTTCTCACTATGAAATGAAAAAATAATCATCCAAGTACCTGTATGGCTCCTCGCAAGTTAATTCCAGTTTCGATGGCGACATAGTAGGATGCTTGTAGAAATGTCCTTTGCAGCAGGAGGGCGAGGAACAGAAGCACGGCCAAGACGTAGGCATTCGCAAGAAACTCTTGGGATGAGACAAAGTAAACCCCGAGAAATTGTGTCTGTTGGGAAGACAAGTGCAGAGGTGGCTGTCATTGCCAGCAAAAAGACCACCTTCAGTACCTGTTACTGGGCCATAATGGCTGTCATTATAGGGCCCCCGTGCTTGCAAACCCATGTGCAATTGTTGATGTGTGAAAATCAGACTGATGAATCCCACTAAGCATTCTTCGAACTACAGGGAGGGCTGCCTATACCCTCTTCACCATCTTGCTTAGGGGAACAGAGTGTGGCCCAGTTCTCACCTTACACCCATAAATGTGACTTGCAGTGTTGCGGCCACCAGGCCCAGGGGAGCTCGCTCTGAATGGAGCAGGAATAAATAGAGCGACTCACAGAGCAGCCAAAACCAGAACGGCTAGAACAAATCGCACGATGTGTGTTCTTTGCTACAAAAATGGAATTAGGGAGGCCTTGTCCCACACTCGCCAACAACCTGTTCTGTAGTAATTTCTGGGAGAAAAGACCAGCGAAAAAGATGGCATGGCAGTGCTCCCAGGCGAGAGATGGGAACGCATCGCCTATAATAGGCTGAAAAGATTTCAGGCCCAAGCCCCCCAGCCTCTTGAGCTCCCAGCACCTCCTTTTAGATTTAGGGTTCTCTTGCTGCACTCTCCAGCAAGAACTCAGACGGTAAGCAGTGAAAAAAAACCCCAACATTTTGACTTTGTTGCTAAAGATACCAGGGAACAGCAGCGTGTCTGTTTCCAAATTCGGCACCAACAGCTCCCAGGAAAGCTTTGATCTTGGCTGAGTTCATTGCTCCCCAGCAGAGCCACATCAGTATTTCCATGAAGACAGAGGTTCTTCCCTGAACTCTGCAAGCTATGGGGAAGGGTCCCCACTGCTTTCCTCCTGAGGACAGACGTCCCCTCACCTAAGAGTGCTGGGAACAAAGGGATGAGAAGGGGCCGAGGCATGCCCCTGACTGTGGTCAGGCTGAACGGGGCAGGCCTCTGAGGGGTGTCCTTTCCCTAGAGTCAGAAGGGCTTCCTGATGGTAGGAAAGATACTGCCATTTGGCTCAACAGGGCTCTCTAAAGGAGCCCTCACTGCTTACAACTGTTTCTCCCTTGCTCTGTGGGTCAGGGGGGGCTCTACCTTTTGGGGACAGCAGGAAGCAGACACAGGGAGATCATTGAGGGATTCACACAGGACTCTTAGAGGA